GCTTGATAAAAATGCATACACACTGCCCACACAAACACACAAAACTCATATTGGAATTAATTAGTGTGGAATGCACACAGCGTTAAAAGTTCCCTACTGAAATCTCAAAAACTGTTCACTGAATAAATATCTCCGTTAACACGAGGAAAAGAGGAAACATATCAATTGTCATGTTCGCGAATATTTACAATCACAAATACTGGAGAAAACAACGAGAAGGTCACCTATCTATGGTGATCCGGTAGTTGTACGGAACCGGTCTACTACCTCTACTCCACTCCATGTCAGAGATATACAATCGTCTTGGTGGATAGCATACGCCGAATGGGGTATCATCGTATCAATCTGGTTCGTCAAAACACACTAATCAGTTAAAATTGAATATATTGTATTAAGACTGCTGGTAACCTCCTAAAATACGTTTCCTTCAGAAGGAAGAGTCAACGTGATACAATAAATCTAAGTGAAATTAGAAAATGTCTCATCAACGATCAACGACTGTTGATTAGGACCTCCTCAGTTCACACAAAATACTCATGGAATAGTCACTATACTATTTTGAAATGCAAGTGTATACCGAGTAAGAGGGGGACTGAATTAAAAGCTTACAGAAAACATACCTACTTCATGAAAATACGGATGAGAAAGAATGACTTACTGAACCCCATGATAAACGTTTCGATATTCCACCACATGTAAAACGTTCTTTGGAAAGACATTGTTCGCTGCCCCAATACGACCACGGTGAGTTTGGAGGAGCGGCCTAAATGGAGGGTGTAGAAGATATAAGTAAGTGAAACACCAATATTCGATTCATTCAAGTCATATTCTATAACAACGAAATTTGTGTCGATTTAGTACAAGAAATGCTTATGTTATTGAGACTAAAGTGACCTCGCGAAATTCCAGTCGCTTGGCCGAAACAAAAAGACTAAAAACGGCAATGACTAGTGATTTATGAAACATGAAATGGACAATATATAAAGAAACGAAGTGAAATCTATTAACGTACTGGCGTTGGATATTCTCCATTGTGGTTGAGATTTGGTAAGCTAGAGGAAATTCGAGCTCTTAACATTGACATTTCTCAGTCAAAATGACACTGGGAGTATGAATTTTCAAAAATGACTCATTTTCGTCCGGAATGTCGACAAATCGATTGGAAAATGTAATTTACTAATGTAATTTAGCTATGATCTGTAATCATTGCGCAACACATTTTTTTATTGGTCATCCACATATTGAACAAGAAAACAACTCACAAGATATGAAAGGTCAAATTTCAGTTCAATTTAGGTCAGCATAAGAATTTGTGAGTAATAATAACAGAAAGGAGGGAAGAGAAAATGTTGAAAATTGGTGTGGGAGGTGGGGTGGAGTGTTATTATCTGAATATATTTCAGTTTAAAAATTGTATTACCAAAGGCAGACAGAAAGACAGGTAGAGTGTAAGTGTAAATGACATTTGATGACAAATGTCACTTTTAGGTCTTTTCATCGATATGCCTTCAAAAATTATACAATAAGTATGTGAAGCATATATGTCCCTACATATTGGTTTGAAATCGCGGTGCTTAGATATCTTTGAAAGGAAGTCTATGATATAAACTGATGTAGAAGAGGCACGCAAATTTCTTCTTATGTCTTGGAATTCATTGAATAAATGCGTTCCGGAAATCCTTTTGATACGGTGGTGGTTTACAATGAAAAGGCACAAATACACTAAGCAGCCTAAAATTCTCGGTGACTTGAACATATATTTCTGATGACTGAATGGATAGCGATACTAGCTGAAACTGTTCAAAGTAGCTTCTCTCCCATATTCAGTCATCACACATCTCTTGAATTACTTTCGCAATCCATGTAGACAGTACCTTCTACAGGTTAATATTTGTTAGTTTTATTCACCACAGATTTTCTCCCCATTCAAATCAATCCGTCACTGAACTGACTGACATCAACTGAACTTTCAGTGTACAATGTCGTATAACGGTGTATCAGCTGAATTCGGCCCACCTCAGAAAACACACACATTGAGTAGGTGAAGAAAAAACTATTCAAAGGAACTCTAATGAACGGAAATGTACGAGAAAGGACAGTTAGACGAAGAATAATCAGAATTGAATGGCTCTTGGAGTAGATGAAGAGTGAATTCATTTTCGCCGTTGAGAACGATTTAAGGTCATATCATCACCAGTCTCAATCCAATGGTTCATTAGGTCCCGCTCTGTCACCAGCAAAGTAGTCTATACCTCTCCCTACGTGACTGGCTCAGAACAACACCCTTCGTCTAACCTTAGTATCACTTACCATATTGTGTCACTAGACACAGGTGACAGAATGCAAATGCTGTTTGATGAAATGAATATTCCACTTTTTCTCCTCAGTTGCTGTTGATGACGGAATACGTTTATATTAGTTATTACTTTCTGTACCATATCACACCATTGCTGAACAATGTCTGTGTTCTGCTTACAGATATATTATTCATCCGCTTATATGTATGAATTATTAGAAGAAGTAGAAATCCGCTTTTGCTGTTCAATCATATAAACTGTTCAAATCTAGATAAACTGTAAGTTCGACATTCATAGACAATGATGGGAGCTCGGTAAGTATAAGTATGCTCCGGCCTACATACAAGCTTCGTGATAGTCTACATTCGGTAGCAGTGAAATGGTACAAAATTTGTGAACGCTTTCCACTGGAAAATACAGAGGAGCACAAGCTTACCTAGATAATTTGTCTTTCACTTGATTGAAACATCCATCCTCAGCTCACCTTCTATACAACTAACGTTGTTCTATGCAGGTAACAAAGCTGGATTATTCATTAAGTCATTCACACCAAATGGATTGGCAGATAAGTCAGGAAAACTGTAAGCAGGTGATCATCAGTTGATCATTGATATAAGAATAAAACTTGTGCACTGTGGTAGAGTGTAATTCCATTATGGGTAAATTTTATTTTGATAAAGTCTCACAGTGTTATACAGTAATGTTTACTGATGACCACGTTTCGAGCACAATTTATTGCTCAAAATCATATCAAGGTGATCACACGACTTCCTAAATTCATTTATATAGTTCCATTGTTTTTCACTTGATTTGATTGGTAGTAATATTTTCCACTACTACTACTATTACTTCTAATATCTTTAAATTCCAAGGCAAAATATATAGACAAACTGAAGGTGTAGCAATGGGATCACCAATATCCCCTATCGTATCAGATATATTTATGGATAGCTGGGAAAATATGGCTCTTAATACGTTTAATCCTACTCCAAAAATATGGTGGAGATGTGTGGATGACACTTTCACAGTGTTAAAAACAGAACATATCTCTAGCTTCTTGACACACATAAACTCACTAGTGGAGGGAATAAAATTCACATTTGAAGCCGAAAATGAGCAAAGACAATTAGCTATGTTAGATTGTAAAATAAAACGAATAGAAGAAGGCAAACTACACACTAGTGTTTATAGAAAACCAACGCATTCTAGTAGATATTTAGACTTTAATTCATCTCATCCGTTAACTGTCCGTTAAGGCAGGCTTAGTTAAGTGTTTAACAAACCGAGCAATGACACTAAGTAGCACAAAAAAAGACCTAAATGATGAAATAAAACAGATAGAAGAGGCGTTGGTGTTAAATAACTATCCTTTAAAATTCATTAGGAAGATTGAAAAAGGCCAAAATAAAAATAATTGTGAAACTAGTAATGATAACATAAATAAGAGAGAATATAAGTCATCTACAGTTATACCATATAAAGAGGGGACATCTGAGACCCTACGTAGGATTCTAAATAAAGCAGGAATTAGGGTGGCATTTAAACCTACAAACTCACTCAGGGACAAGCTCTGAAGATTAAAGGACCCAGTTGACTCAATTAGACAAAATAATACAATTTACAAAATACCCTGCAATGACTGTGAGGTCAACTACATAGGTCAAACTAAGTAGGTCAGGGGTAGTCAGATTGTCAGAACATAAGAATTTAGCTAAGGTAAGAATGGTTGACCCAGAGAAGATAAGTAATTTAGAAAAAAGCTCAGCAATTGGAATGCATGCATTAGCACACAACCACACAATAGGGTGGGAGAGGGTTAAAATTCTAAAAAGTAATCTAAGTAGGTGGAGAGAGAGGTTGATTACTGAATCCTTGTTCATCGAATCTACACCCAACACATGCAATAGGAATGAATCATCACTCATACCCGAAGTATGGAAAATAATATTACCAATCAAATGGAGTGAAAAACAACGGAATTATATAAATGAATTTAGGAAGTCGTGTGATCACCTTGATATGATTATGAGCAATAAATTGTGCTCGAAACGTCATCAGTAAATATTACTGTATAACACTGTGAGACTCTATAAAAATAAAATTTACCCATAATGGAATTACTTTGGGAAATGTTACGAAAATGGTTGCAGACTACCTTAGTAACAGTAGAGTTTGTGTGAAATATCATAGATATCCTGCGATACATTATAAGTGTTGCATTTATACTTTTATTTTTCACGAATACTACGTATATTTGGCTATGTACAGAAAATAAAAAACTCATTTATCCTACAGGGATTGTATCCTTGACCTGTAAGTTGTAAACTGAATATAGACCAGTGAGATTTTAGCTTGTCGAATAATTCACGAAATACACATGTGCTCCAACATCCAGAATATTTTATTCGCAAATACATTTTATCGTGTCCAATTTGTCTACTTTCAATCTTGAATTTTCCTTTGAGAAGATTGGGTTTTCAAACTAATTTAGATAATTGCAATTGATGAATGCTTATCTGTACAAATTTCATATTTATTTTGATCTTTCATACAGCCTTCAAATACTGTGCATGCTTGTGGTAGGTTTATTGCTATCTCATGATTTTCTCAGAATGTATTTTAATTTCCTCCGTCCAATTACTTTTTTCAGGTCTCATAACTACTGCTGAAAACTGTTCGTTAACCTTCAACTGACATTCTACAATGGCAACGCCAGTGTTGACAAAAGAAGCAGCTGAGAAGACTGCGCGATCTATTTTTGTAGGTAATATACCATACGAGGCAACAGAAGAAAAGCTTATTGAACTGTTTGGCAAGGTAATTAGTCACATGGAATATTTACTTCATTTCATAGGCTGGTCCCGTAATTGGTTTCCGTTTGGTGTATGACAGAGAGTCGGGAAAACCCAAAGGCTATGGATTTTGTGAGTACAACAATCCAGCTATCGCTGCAAGCGCCCTTAGAAATCTCCAAAATATCGAATTCAATGGCCGTCCGTTGCGTATTGGACCAGCTGCCGGAGAACAAAACTCTGCTGAATTAGCTTTGAGTAACCCTGCTGTTGGACCACCACTTGAAAGTCCATATGGTGACAGTATTGATCCACAAGGTGCTCCAGAGGCCATTAGTCGAGCAGTTGCTAGTTTACCACCTGAACAGATGTATGAGCTGATGAAGCAGATGAAATTATGCATACAAAACAACCCAAACGAAGCGCGGAATATGCTTCTACAGAATCCACAGTTGGCATATGCTTTACTCCAGGTAATTTTCAACTCATGTTTTGCTTCTTGATTTAAATAAGTTTTGGTCAGTGAAATGGTTAGCGATTATTGATTTTTCTTAGGTAGAATTTCAATGATTGAGTCAGTTTATTTCTGTTGTATCCAAGATTTTTTCTCTAGGCACATCACTAGTTTATATTTCTGTCGAATGCATCTTTACCAAGAGAGCAACACAGCCATGAAATTTCATATTGGATTCTACTTTTGTTGTAAGAGGGAAAACAATTCACTGTATGATTATAATATTTTACGTAAAGGGACAGGAGTGTAGTGTTCACCACTGAAAAGGTATGCGTGAGCTGCTTATTCACCTGCAAGCAAGTTCACACGTTTGCTACAGCGTTTGCACTTGGTTTCGCCCTAATGATGTGATGACGACCGAGATATTTGCAGCAGCATAATATTTATACTTCTCGGTATTTTATTGTATTACGAGAGTTTACTAAGCTGAATCTGAAACAATAAGTTACGAGTAAACACACGCTACTAACCAATCCTTTTTAAATAGCATTAATTTAGATTTTATGAATACTAAAACTCTTCATAAGTAATTTTAAAGTCCTTTGACATCAAGTAAGTCCTCATCACACAGTTTTTTGGTGGTATCATAGAACTTCAACAGTATACTTTATTTTTGACAAAACCTAGTTTCCACATATTTTCTGATTCGTTTTTTCAGGCTCAAATCGTTATGAAGATAGTTGATCCCAAGGTAGCTATTGCAATGTTGAACCGTAGTCACGACCAAATCCCTCCAGCTATGCCAGATGAAGATATGACTCCTAAGGGACCACCTATGACTTTTCCTGGACACTTAAATCAACCACAACCTCCAATGGGTCCCAATCCTCCTGGAAATCACATGATGCCTTTGTCTTCGCCCGGAGCTCACTTACCACCATCCGGTTTCCCTCATCACGGTGGTCCAGCACCTGTACCACACCCAAATCACTTCGGTGTTGATCAACACCCACCACGCAGTCAAGCACCACAAGGAGGTAAATCATTCTTTCTTTGTGTAAACTTTATAACGAACAACTCGTCAATTGGGATCTTGTATTCAGCCGGTTCTGTTACGTGTGTAGCTATTATCACTTCGGAGTCTTTTAGTTTGATAAATTCTTAGTATTTACACTTAGCGAATAGAAACTAAAAAGAATGTAACTCAACAGTTATTTGTATTTCTTCCTTAGCGATTTAGCAAATCACTACTCCTTCATGAAAACCGGTTTACATGTGGTTACTAACATCAAGAAAACTACAATTTTGTTTCTGTTATCCGGTCAAGTTTAGGCGTAGACGACATGGAAAAGCTGTTCACCATTTTTTTTTAACGGTCTACAACGTGAATATAACGCTGACTATAGATTTAGGATAGCTGTCAAAGCCGTAATAAAGTATACCTATTGTAGAAAGATTATAGTATCCTTAAAATCCTCACAAAAATTTGTAAAATTCTACTACTGTTTAAGCGTGAATATTCAAAAAAAAAGTTAAGTTTTATCCATTGTGCATCTGTTTGAATAGCAATTTACTCCACAATTCACTTCTATCCTATAGCAAGCTGATTACTGGAAGTAAAGCTAGAGCTAAACACAATTAGCTGATTTGATACACTGTGGCTTATCTACAACAATAATGGTAACAACAGCACAGTCTACTAGTGATGCTTCTAAACGCGAAAGGATTATAAAGCACTTGACACTATTACAGTGATACATTGATCAAGGTGAGAAAAAACTTTTACGAGTTGATCACGGACTGATATCAGTTAGAGAACCATTGAAAACCAGGGAGTACTGGACAGCTGCTGTTTCATCCTAGTTTGGGAATCATCGGCAGTACGCACCAACCACCAGGGTTCGAACCCAGGACCTTCCGGTTACAAGGCAAGCTCGTATACCATTCAGCCACTGGGACCCGATTCAATGGCTCATGAATTCTAACTTCTACCAATTCGTGATTTTAGCGCGACCCCAACTATTGTCGTTGGTGGAAATCCATCCACACGTGACTTCTAATTGGACCTCACTGGTCACGACTTCTCACTAGAACTCCAGGAAGCTCCAACCTGTAGCAAGTCACTAGCGAGCGTCACAATAATTTTCTATAGTTTGGTTTGTAAGGATTAGTTATGTTTTACGAGCTTGCCTTGTAACCGGAAGGTCCTGGGTTCGAATCCCAGTGGGTGCGTACTGCCGATGATTCCCAAACTAGGATGAAACATCAGCTGTCCAGTACTCCCTGGTTTTCAATGGTTCTCTAACTGATATCAGTCCGTGATCAACTCGTAAAACATAACTAATCCTTACAAACCAAACTATAGAAAAAAACTCTTTTACTTCTAGAATTCCCTATGTTATTGCCATTATCGTTTACCATACTCCACACGCAAAAATGAGTAAATTTCCGCTGCCTCATAAACATCAAGCCATTCAAATATTTTGTCTTCAAAATCCATGAATGCTTAAAACGAATTTCAAATAATGATATATTTTCTTCTATCAATTTAGTTCCTCAGAAATTTTATCCGCCTAATATGCCACCTAATGGGTACCCTTCAAATTCTGCTGCTCCACCACCTCAACCTCCATTCGACTATCCTCCTGGTCAAGCGCAACCACCTAATATGTCAGGACAACAATCACACTTCAATCCCAATCCACCTCCCGTTCGACCACCACCTCCTCAAGTAAGGAACAACTTATTTCATCTTTCTTTTTTTGGAAACGGTTTTTATACACAGAGAATTAAGTCAAGACAATAAAAGACTAAGTGCAGTTATATAATATCCACCCGTCGATTAGATATGAGCTCATACTAGCGATAGCTGGTTTAAAAGCTGTGGGCCAAAAGGATCGATGTAAGAGATAATCTCAACGCATGCCATTCGTATCACAACACATAGCACCTCTACTAGTCATCTGTTTGTTTTGTTTTCAAAAAAGTAATCTGTGTATAAATCTTTCTGATATACCAACTTTCTTTGTCGTCATGTGACTTTTGAAACACACTTTCACAAAGATTACTTCGGTTGTTCGTATAACACAGAGGTCGCTGTAATTCTGGGGAGTACATTACATGCTTGCCTGACATTATGAGTGTAGCTTTTTAAACAATGTTACACACGTTACTCAAGTAATTCTTAAAATGTCTACAATTGATATTGAGTACCAAAGCAAATTTCCACTATTGTGGGCTTTTCACTTTATTTGTGTGTGTGTGTCTTATGTTTCTATAAGTAAGACATGAATGCCTTTTGAGATGATGTGTTTTCTCTTTTTCTATTCCCTAATTAGCAGATCACACCTGCAGTTGCTGCAGCCGCCGCTGCTAGTATGGGACCTAACAGTCTTCTAGCAGGACAAGGAGAACAAGAAAAAGTTACACTTATAATGCAAGTTCTTCAACTGTCAGATGAACAACTTACACTTTTACCTGAAGATCAACGACGTAGTATTATGATATTAAAGGAGCAACTCGGTAAAACAGGAGCGATTTAATACCCATGGCATTGCATTATTGTATACGTTACTAAAATGTTTTGTTATGTACTTAAAGAATGCGACTGTTTAGAAAAATAAAAACATTTTTGTTATTATGCAAGATAACTATATTGATCAGGATCATCTGGATTTCTTTCTAGGTAACCAGTGTCTATTAGATTTTCGATGCAACGCTTAATCAACGGTATTGGAGGCTGGAACCGATTACTTGCTTGTTGTACAATAGTTTCGATAAGGGCTGCATGCTTTATTTGTCTTCTGGCTTTGAGGATACGTACTATAGCTGCTTGTACGTAAAAGCGTCGATCGTCGTGTACCTGACGATCAACCTGATCCACTTCAGACTGTGAAAGAAAAAAAAGATAAGAAATTAAGTTCACTATCTTCATATTAACGTTACTTCAAGGAGTTATAATAATGTATGCGCAAAACTTGAACAATGTTAATACGTAATTCCACATTAATTTATTCATGGGATATACGACACTGAAGCAGTAGTATTTGCTGAATGACGCTTCGAACACAATTTACTGTTCATAACCGTATGAATTGTAACCATTCAACTTTATATTTCTCCTTTTCCCTTGGTCCTAAGGTTAGTAGGATCTTCCAGGTGTTGAATCATTCCTGTTGCATATGTTTTCCAGTTGATTCGATAGATAAAGCTTCACTTATCAATGCCTCCCCCCACCCTATTACATCAGACTATTACCCTGTCCCATCCTATTGTGTGGTTGTGTATAACTAAATATAGTGTTATAGCTGACCTGTTTTCAAGATTCTCAATTTTATTAGGGTCTACTAGTCTAGATTTTGTGAAGTTTCTATGCTCCGCTAATCTAATTGACCCTGACCTACTACTACGTTGACCCCACTATCGTTGCATGGTATTTAGTAAACTAAATTATTTCCTCTAATGGGTTCCACAGGACCCCTTAACCGATAAAATTTGTTTCTAATTGACTTTGGGTTTGAATACCACTTTTATTCCAGCCTTTTTAAGAATCTCACGTAAGGTTTTATGGGAGGACTGCTGATGTCTTGAATTCCCCCCTTCGTGGTGATATCTCGCTGTGAAAGTTTGTCATTTGCGTTGTTCTTGTCATTATTACTTCTATTCTTATAATTTCCTATGTACTCCCTGATAAATAACATCGGTAATGAATAAGTGCCAAAGTTGTGTAGATACAAATAAATGAATCAATATGGGGGGTATAGTCAACCATTTAATTATTTAGGGAGATCAATGAAGGTGAACACAATCGATACAGGCCTCACAACCTCATCGACTAATTTTCGTCCTTATCTAATCCTACATATTACTGATCATAAACCGCCTTACACAAGTAATAGAATACAGACCGCTAGCCTCTTCGTGTCTCCTACTTTCAAAGGATATGTGTCACAGCCGTAAAGTAAGATGAAGCGAACTACAGTGTAGTACACGCGTCATTAGATGGGCAACTAAGAATCACAAGTACGCCGGAGATGAAGCAAGTTGGTAAATGCCAAACGAGCCTTTTGCTGAGACTTTGTCAGCAACCACTTCATTAGGTTGACGCAAATTCCCAAGTGAAGTAATCAACATACATTTAATTGGCTTCGGAATTGACTTACCATGAAACAGAGATCTCGTTGATTTACAGCATATAAATGATATAATGCTTTTAAATGAAGACAATGACAAAATGTAGGGAAATCTGAATACGTTTGGCATGCGATTCGTCTGTGTCAAGTGTAAAAATGACGCTGGAGATCTGATGCAGACCAACTTCTTGTTTAAAGATAGGAAGTTAAGTGGTGAAATATGTTGAGAAACTTATGGCTATCGAAATATAGCTGTTGAAAGTAGGAGATATCAGGTTTTTGATCATAGGTCCCTACATTCAAATGTTTGTGTGAAGTAGAGCTAAGTGGCAAGTAAAATAGTGAGGTTGCGTAAAGAGAGTAAGTCCATCAATAAAGTTCAGTCGATTAAGAATGAACTACGAAAACACAGACCATTTTACTTTATATTACAATTAAGATTCATGGTGTAAGAAAGGCAAAGATTATCAGTTTTCAATCAAAATCAGAGAGCGTCACTGTTTCACTTATGAAATTTACACTGCATCCTTCATTTGGTGCAAATCTTCATTTACACAAAGTGAAAAATTCGGTGAAAAGGCGTTTACATTTCTATTAGATACTCATCGTGTTGTAATTTATCGATCCGATGGTAAGAAGTTAATTAACAAAAAGTCAAAGAATTAATAATTATTTTGCAGACACTATGTGTTATCGAAAAGCAAACAATTTTTCGTTCGATTCCCATGTATATATTTGATTCACAGAAATAGAATTAAAACACACAGTAAAACAACATACCTGATTCGATTCTTTCCCTTGAGAGGAAAAATTCACCCTTAACTTTAAACGTTTGTTTGCGAACGAACGATTCAAGACAATAATACTTCCCATCTACAAAGAATATGCATTCATTAGTGATAATTTAATTCTACTAACCTTTAAAGGGGAGGTACTCGATGAAGCATTACTACTTTGTTCTTCATTTGACTCGATATAAATTATGTTTAACTCAATCAAGGGAGCTAAAAGTCGTTGGATTGTATCCAGTTCACATGAGGAAGCAAGTGTATCTTGAGAACAAGTCTCCATCTTACTGGCATTAACTGTATCAACAGAAGGAGTATTGCCTTTAGTTGCAGGATTGTTTCCACTACCAACAGCAGTAGTAGTAGTCCTACCATCAGATACTGTTAATTGTAAACCTAATTGTAAATCTTTCACTGTTATACGATCTGAATCAACATGATCGAAGTACAGAAGAATGGCAGCATGAATAGCTGGAGCTTGAATCTGATAGGCTTTGTCGGTAAAAAGTAATTGAATTTCTGCTGTTGAATAACTATGTGCCCATCTCATTTTTCTGCCTTGATGAGCAGCACCATAAAACTCTTCAAAATGATAAGTACATGTATATAAATCAAGTGGAAGGAGAAAATCTGTTACTCCATTGAGTGTGATTGGCCAAGAACATTGCTAGAAGAAAACAATTTTAAAAAAAGGGGAATAAGCAACATTCTGGCACAAATGATCCACTATATTAGTGTGTTACATTAAATAAACTTATAATACAGGGAAATCGCTTATGGTTTAACTCTAACAATCTTATCATATTTGCATATCCGTTCTGCGGACCGAGTACCCTGGTGCAACGTTCAAGCGAAATAAGATTGATACATGTTAAGTGGGAATTAATTTTCCTTTTAGGACTCTCGCTTGCGACTGGCTACACTTAAGTGAATTTACACAACGAATTAGTCATTTACTTCATCGGAGGATTTCACCACCCATTTTATCTGAATTTTACTGATACTACATGTATTAGGGTTGGAGTCTGTGACCTACTATATAACTCTTGACCTGTTAACCAGTTGTAGTTTTATAACTTATTGACCTGAAGGGTCTGGATCAGGTGATGTAAGATCCACTAACTTTTACTGTATAGTCCACCTTAATAACTCCAATGTTTATAGTTAATTAAAAAAGGTATAGGTGAATCTGGATCGATTTAGAAGGATATATATATATATATATATCCAATGTTGTCGCTACCCGATGACAGGGAAAATTCCAACCTCATTAAAACTTGTGCTTTTAAATAATCATATAAAACGCATATCAAAGCCATGTACCATATATATAAATAACACACAGGCTAAAACAACACTCAAGTATTGGTTTGTAGGGATTTGATTGATTGGTTACAGAATTTCATCATGAGCTGACATCGGTTAGAGAAGTATTGGAAAACCTGAGAGTACTAAACAGCTGTTTCGTCCTGGTGTGGGACTCTCCAGCACTACGCACCCACCGGGGGTCGAAGCCGCAACCTTCTGGTTACAAGGCAAGCTCGTAGACCACTAAGCCACTGGGACCCGATACAATGGCCCATGAATTCTAACTTCTGCCAATTCACGACACAGCGCGACTGCTTTTCAAATTATGATGATAAAGGATAAATCAACAAAAATGCATAAATAAAAGATTTCCACTTCCGTTTACTTACTGTTAAAACATGGAAGTGATGACCGAATGTGAAATGTACATCTTTGGATTGTAAATATTCTGTGAATTTTCGATTCATTTCAGGACTTATCTGGACATCACTAAACATTCGTTGAAATTTTGAAGTAAACTCATAACCACAAACAGTTTTCAACTGATTAATGACAGATTCTTCAAGTTCCAACATTGAAGAATAATTGAACACTAGTCTTTTACATAACAAACGTTGATAATACTTAAGAAGAAGACGAAAAAAGATCATCGAAAGTAAACACACATTAACTCTAGATATATACATAAGTAAAAAATGGTTAATTCTGATAGGATATACTGTTTTGCCAGTGAAAAGATATGAGATAGCTTTCGTATTACAAAATAAAATTGATGTTATGGTTTGTAACGGTACAAGAGAAGAGACTCGGTGAAGGATTGTTTATTTGAAACTTGGTATCTCTATATGAGGGAATTATGTACACCTTACCTGCAATCTGTCGTTTGCACAGATCTTCCGTACTATGCTACTTTTTCCCTCCGTATTGTGTTTTTCTGTCTCCTTTTCGTGTCTTCCACGTTTTGCCGCAATGTTGAATCATTCGCTCTCTTTGACGTCAAATGTTTCTCTCAACTATTTGATATTTTTATGTCGATGAATGTCTCTTTATATACTACTGACAGATCTTATCAGTAGCACATGCAACAGTATGATATATGTGATGTTCAAGGTAAAGTGACGACATATTCGAAGATTCTTGGTGCAAATCCATCCATAAATAAGGTTTTTCACTGGAATTCTTTAATAATCATAGTGTTATACATTTTATTTCTTGATTCACAGGGTTTTTACCCGACTACCACCGTTCAGTTTCAGTAAAACACACTAATAAGTACACAAATATGCATGACAATAGTAAGGAATGATACGTAAA